TCGTTGATGGCGGACGGCTGGATGACGGCGCCCGAGAGGATGTGCGCGCCCACCTCGCCCGCCTTCTCCAGCACCAGCACGCGGAAGTCCTCGTTGCCGGCCTCGTTGGCCAGCTGCTTCAGCCGGATGGCGGCGCTGAGGCCCGCGGGACCGGCGCCGATGATGCAGACGTCGACCTCGTCTGACTCACGCTCGATGGTCGCGGGATCAAACGACTCCTCCTCGGCCGCCATCCGCAGTCGCATGGCGGTGCTGAATGATCGGACGGCGGCAGCATTGGGCATGCCTGTTGCCGCCACCCGCAGAGCTCCCTTCGCGATGCGGGTGGCGGCAACAGGGCCCAGGAACCTTGCTGGCCGGCATCGTGGGATTGTCCGGGCGGTTGTGCGCAGGGCACATCTTGACACAGGCGTCGGCGCTGGCATTGTGCTGAATATCGTCGTGAAGCAACTCCCCTCTCGAGATTCCCTACAGAACTGAATCCCCTTAAAGCTCCAGGCGGGGAGGCGAATTCGAATTGGGCGTGGATTGAAGAATCTGGGGAAGAGGAAGAAAAGCGGCGAAATCGACGTCAATGACCGGCGCCGAATTTCCTGACCTTGCAATTAGCTGCCCAGTGATTGGCTGCAAGGTCCGACCCGATACCCGGATCTCAATAGCCGATTGCAGCCGGAGGGCCCCTGTACTTGAGCGGTACCCGAAGCTGGGGGGGATCCTTGCCGCGGACATGGTGGCTACGCTCGGCTCAGGAAGTAGCGCTCGGGTATATCTTCGTGGGAGCATCTCGCTGCTGTCACAAGCCTGTAATAGCCGTGAAGGATGTAGAGGTCCAGGAAGTTGACGATGCGAATCCTGACCATCAACTAAATAACCCGGGGTGAATCTCTCCTGAGGCATGTGACTAATAAGCCTGTATCATCAGTGGGCTTCAGGCCGTCCATGCTGAGCTTCTTCGTGGCCGTCTGTCTAACGATAGGGCATTCATAGTACCTTGGTAGCGAGGCGGGCCGTCCACCTTAACCGCGGTCCGCAACATGCGTCTGTCCACTTTACAGCATCTCTTCGAGCCGAGACTCTCACTCCGTGTGTTCATACGGGCCAATGGATCATTCAGATGCTCTGCAGTTCTGCAGACTCATGGTCATCTGATTGAAATGCCAAGCAGAAATATGACAACCGACCCGAAGCTGCAGGGTAACTGCGGGCCAGATGTACCAAGATAATGGCATAACACGTCTCTCTTCCATGATATCAATGCCATGTACGAAATACCTCCTTGTAGTTATCTCACTACTTCGTAGATAAATCAGGACAATACTTTACACAGAATAGGCTTCCAAGGGTAACCAGACCATCCATCATATGACGTCTTGGTGGGTTACATTCTGACCACAGTCTCGGCTCATCGAACCGTCTCACCCGGGAGCTGGTAAACACTGTAAAACATCAATCGATACACGTCAGCCCTGCGACAATGCGATCGCCGTCATCTTGTCTTGCCTATTTGTGACGCAGGATTCCTTGTGTGAAGATCCCTGGGCTTTATTACTCTATGCACAAATGAGACCCAGGAGTCATGGTACCTACTTGAGATTTCAACTACCTACTAACATAGCAGCCGTCTTATACGCTCGATGAAAGAGTAAAGCCCAAATTCGACATAATATATCATACGCCTGTTCTAAACTTATTACCAATAGTAAGACCAAAATACCAATCCCCTGCACCTGGGACTTCCCATCTATCTTACGCATGAACTGGTCGATAAAGGTCTAACTCAAATCGAATCCGGCCCCCGACTGGATCGCGTAGAGTAACTTCTTGCGTAAAGTCTCCTCCGACTTGTAGATTGGTAACTTCAACAAGTTGACACATGTGCTCGTGCTCGGTAGCCGCTCTTGGTCCGAGCTGCCATCTCGAATGGCAAATTTTGGATTCAGCTGCGAGAAGCCAAGCAGCGGTGCTCTTGGAGTTGACGTAACGTACTTGAGAACGTCACGCCTCTGGGCGTCCGTGAAGCCCCTCATGACATTCCAGAACATCTTGATCGTCGGGTGTTCTTCCCCATCATCGCCAATGGCGTAGAGGCCGCTGTAGACCGTGTTCCGGCGGAGGTCCTCAACGTCAATCGCCATCGAGTCGCCGCCAACCAGGCGCTGCAGCTCAGACTGGTTGAACATGGAGAGCCAGGACGGCCGGATAATCTCGCGGAGTCCGCGCAAGAAAGCACTGGTCTGAGGGGCTGGCTGCACAACCAGGCGATGGCGAGCTGCGTATGATATGTACAGCAGGCGGTTGTCGTTTGTCACCGGTATCTCATCGCCGTTGGGCACCAGCTTTCTGGTGACAGTCTTGACTGGCTCACCCGGAGCCGAGATCTGGTCCGTTACGGTAAAGTCGAGCCCCAGCTCGGAGACATCTCCGGGATAATTCTTGAGGCGGAGGAGACCATTGTATAGCTCCTCGTCCATGTCTTGAAGGTCGTTGACACTGCCCTTGTAGCTGTTCTCCTCCTTTCGACTGGGCGATGGCCATTTCAAGAGGAAGAACCCGGCAAAGGCAAGGTCGACGAGGATTCCCTCATACATGCACTTACCCACGATGCGGCCAAGGAATTCATAGCGCCTCAGCAGATCGGACACCGCCTCTCTCCACTCTGGATCAGTTTCCACCAGCCCTTGCTTCCGCAGCGACTCGCGAAGCACGTCCAGGGCCGTTGGGTTGGGATACAGCAGTTCTTTGCGACTACGCGTGAACATGCCTACCCCTCCGTGCTCGTTTCCAAAAGCCTCTGCCGTAACACTGGTGAGAAACTCTTTTGTAACTCCACCGCCGTCGATACCTGCCTCGGCCGTGCCAAACTGGTCCACAAAGGTGATTTGAATCGGGTCTTTCAGGCCATCTCCCAGTTGGTAGAACTGCTCATAGGCATCGTCAAATAACTGGCCACGGCGAATCTTTGCGTGATGCCGTCCCATAGGGGGCATCATCATCCCATGGTTTCCACCCCTACGAAGCCTGTCGAGGTAGATGAATTGCCGAAAAATCATTACTCGCGTCTCAAATGGAACAACGAATGGGATGTGCTTTAGCAGTTCGAGCTTGGGACCCATCTCGGCGAGTCGTCGTTCCCTTTGGGCGCGTATCTGGTTCGCTTTGATCCTTTCCAGTCTAACATTGCGAGAAAGCCGTTGCGCGGCGAAACTTGAATGCATCCCGAAACCGTCAGCGTATGAAGCGTCTGCGTCTTCATCTTCTTCGGCGTCGCTACCATCGGCCTGTTCTTGGATCTGCCTCTCCTCTTCCGCTATGACAGCCCCGATGAAGTCTTCCTTCTCCAGCTTGCTTGTCATAAGCCAGTGGTCCACCGGTAAGAAATGCTTCCTCGAGTCCCTTTCGTACAGCATCTTCAGCGCTGTGGTAATGATGGCGCGAAGGCTCTCTAGATCGAGCTTCGTAGAGACTCTTGATGTCGAGGTTTTGCTGGATTCTTTGGATCCGCCCTGGTTCTTCGATGAATCGCCCCAATAGGAGTCCAACCGGGCTTGTGTTGAAGCGTCGACGGTCGATCGAGTCTGGGTTATCTCCTGGACACTGTAATGCAGAGTGAATGAAGTATTCTTGAGGAATGTGATGAGCGCTTCGACATCCTTTAACGCCAAGCTGCATGAGCGAGTGCGTGATTGTGGCACGTCGCTGCTCATTACCTGGGGATATATGCCGCTCAAAAAGTCTTCATCGTCGCTGATTCTGAGAATGAATGTGTAAAGCTCCAAGAACAAGAGGATTATCCTCCATTCTTGCTCTTCCGCGTGCACCGATGGCTGAGATGAAGTTTCATAGAAATACCTGTGAAGGATCTTCGCCGGCCTTTCAGATTCTGTTCTTAGTTTCTGAAACACCGAGGTCTTGGTCATCATCTGCCACAAAAACTTGACAATGGGAGTATTCCCTTCTGCAGTAGGGATCTCCTCGAGAAATAGCCTCATGCGGGTGTCATCTGCTCTGCTCGGAAAGCTTTGAAGCAAAGCCAGTATGTAGCCAGCAAGGAGCTCACTGCCTTCTAATTCTTGGCCTGAAGACTGCGCCAGGCTCATGGAGAAGTCGTGCAGGAGGTTGGAAATCCCATTACTGTCAACCAGCCGCAATAACTGGGTGGAGATATATGACGATGAGGCAAATACAAGAGAGTCGGTAGCCACGTCGTCGGGTTGCTCGGAAGACGGCTGTGTGCTTATTCGCATACTGATATCAGAAGACAAGGCGGATAACTGTGTGAAAGTGGCAGTCAGATGCACCAGGTTCCGCGTTGAACCCTTCTGTGCTCTACTCAGATCTATGAAATGAGCCAGAAGCCAGAAGAGGCGGTCCTTTTCTGGCAAAGCATCTGATTTTTCGCTGTACGCTTTGAGAATCTCGACCGCGAGCTTCTCTGTGTTGATGATCTGGGCCACTCGGTCGATGTTCTTCTCGAAAAGATGGAGGTTCTCCGTTGACAGGAATCGGAGCGCAAGTGCCCTATAGGCATCGGATTCTGCGCAAGGTCGAGTCAGTTGGTATTGCCATGATACGTTTGCAGAAACGACGCCTTGGTAGTATCACATACCGCTTCCTGCACCTGCACCTAATGGTGCTGCGAGTGACTCGAGGAGAACTTGCACCCATTCTGGGCCATGTTTCGATTGGCAGAGCTTAGCCAAGCCCGTATAGTATTCGTCGATCGATTCAAGTATAGCAGAGGGCGAGGTGGCAGCCAACCGGTTGATCAGCGCAAGAAGATTCCCTGTTTCCACCGCCGTATCGCTGAGCGAGCCGAATTAGCATATGTACGATCTGCTGCGGGTTCGCAGCACCTTCAAATAGCAGTAAACATACTCTCTGGAAACTAAAACACCCAAGGATTTCACCAAAACCTTCATTAACTTGCGAAGGCGTGAAGGATGACGACTGGCATCGAAGAGCTGCTGAAGGGAGGTGTTATTACAGTCGTTGACGAATAGAAGTAGACGCTGTAGGTCGTCGACTCGGTGGGGAGAGAAGAAAGAAAGAAGCAGAGGAAAAGAAGTCGATAGCCTCTGAGAAGCATCGAGGTCCGGTCGGGATCCGTAGACGAGGTCGAAGTCACGCCGATGCTGGTCCCTCAGTATAGCCCGCGATCTATACCCTCGCCATGTTCTCTGTATCTGCGATGCGGCCTTCAAGCGCCGCCGTTCCGCCTGTCGCTTCTCCCTTTCGGCCTGTGCATCCGACACAGTCTTTGTAGCGTTCGAAACGGCCGAGGGGCTCCATGATGTGTTGGAGAACGGGTTGCTGGCTTGGCCGCTCAGGTTGACGTTTCTCGGCCGCCGGGAGTTGCCTGTAAAGGTCGAGAACATGGCAGCGGCGTTGGCTTTGCTAGTAGCGACACGCAGACATCAAGCGGGCATCAAAAGGAGGCAAATCAACAAGCATTCATCACATCACCTCGCGCGATGCGTCCGTGTCTCGGCGGCTGCTGCGGCGGTTCTAGAAGATTCAGCCCTGAAGCTCTCATCAGTCATCAGTCATCAGCCTGGATGCGTCGTCTTGCAGGCTGCCCGGGCATAGCATCATCATCGCTGGTGGGGCAAGACCACTCCGGCTAGTGTCGCGTGCTGATAAGATAAGGACAGAGCTCTCTCGAACAATCGGGGTCACCGCCTTTGAACATCCCACCAACACAGTGCGACAAGGAGGGGTCGTTGACTGTTACCCTTGTCTGTGCTCGTGGGCAAAGGCAAACGAGCCGCGGGCAAGTCCCACTGAGTGCGAAGTATGTACTAACTTCTGGGACAGCAGCACTTGGCCCGGCGGATGTCATTGTGACTTGTGAGCCTCATTGTGGCCACTCGCGGCTGCGGCCCAGCTGAATGGCAAAAAGCAAGAAACATGCAGACAGGCGTCGTCTGCCACCGCCCTCTTGAGAATTTTCACAGCGGCAGGCTTTGCATCACACCCTCTCTGCGATAGGCCGGCAGATAGTCGCGAGACCTGGCCAAGGCGGGGTTCAAGGTTTCCATCTAACACTTTCAGCCACGCGGGAGGCGGGACTCCGCTAGCAGCGACTTCCACGTGAGGAGCCGCGAGTACCTCTGGCTCGCCTTTGGGCGGGTTTAGTGCCAGCTCTGGCAGTGTCTTGCACTGTTCCGTACTGTGGTACCCTAATAGATTCCAGCAGGAAGTCGCAACTCGCCGCTAAGGAGGCACGGAAGGTCACTCCACCGCTAGAAAGGTTTAGCAGCCCAGCAGAAAAAAAAATATGTCGAGTGGTTGAAAATCTCTTTTTTCTTCTTCTTCTTCCACAAACGCCCAACTTTATCCCAAACACCACCAAACCAATAAAAGGCAGGTTAGTTCAGAGGTACGGTCTTCGTACTCGATCTCTGTTCTTGCTCTTTTCTTCATCAAGAAAACAAAAAAAAATTGAAAAATCCAAAAAACCCTACCCGCCTTCACCCACCTTCAACTCCCGCGCGACGTCGTCGACAAACGGTCACCGCAAGGAAATACTATCCAAAAAACCAAAACAAGCCTACCTTTGAGACAACTTGCCCTTGTTGTCTCTATCTCCCGGTTGCTCAGCCTGCAGAACTGTCAACTCTGACTCGCCGAGCACTCTTCTTCTTCTCGTTCTCTTTCTGAACCAGTAAGTAATAATGGCTGATGATGCCGGGCACCCTGGTGGCCCTTGTCCCGCAGCAAACCAGGGTTCCCTCCCTCCAACACCTTCCACAGCCGCTGACTCTTGTTGTCCCGCAGTCTTGTTTGATACCCTACCCAGGATTCAGTCAACCGTCGCAATGGCCGCAAACACCACCTCCGCTGCTGTTGATCAGCTCGCCAGCGATCTCAACAACACCTCCCTCAATGGCAGTGGCGATGCCAAGGCTCCTGCCATCGACACCTCCGTCAGCGCTGGTGCTGAGGATGCCTCTGCTCCTACCCCCACCGCCGCTCCCCACCCCCAGAACTCGGCCTCTCTCTACGTCGGAGAGCTTGACCCCTCCGTCACCGAGGCCATGCTCTTTGAGCTCTTCTCTCAGATCGGTGCTGTGGCTTCCATCCGTGTCTGCCGTGACGCTGTCACCCGCCGCTCTCTCGGTTACGCCTATGTGAACTACAACTCCACTCCTGATGGCGAGAAGGCCCTGGAGGAGCTCAACTACACCCTCATCAAGGGCCGTCCCTGCCGCATCATGTGGTCGCAGCGTGACCCCGCTCTGCGCAAGACTGGCCAGGGCAACGTGTTCATCAAGAACTTGGACGTTGCTATTGATAACAAGGCTCTCCATGACACCTTCGCTGCCTTTGGCAACATTCTCAGCTGCAAGGTTGCGCAGGACGAGAACGGAAACTCCAAGGGCTACGGATTTGTTCACTACGAGACCGATGAGGCCGCTGCTCAGGCCATCAAGCACGTCAACGGCATGCTGCTCAACGAGAAGAAGGTCTACGTCGGCTACCACATTCCCAAGAAGGACCGTCAGAGCAAGTTTGAGGAGATGAAGGCCAACTTCACCAACGTCTACGTCAAGAACATTGCTCCTGATGTCACCGACGAGGACTTCCGTCAGCTCTTTGAGAAGTTTGGTGACGTTACCTCGTCTTCTCTGGCTCGCGACCAGGAGGGCAAGACCCGTGGATTTGGCTTCGTCAACTTCACCACCCACGAGGCTGCTTACAAGGCTGTTGAGGAGCTCAACGGCAAGGACTTCCGCGGTCAAGATCTCTACGTTGGCCGTGCTCAGAAGAAGCATGAGCGTGAGGAGGAGCTGCGAAAGTCTTATGAGGCTGCGCGCCTTGAGAAGGCCAACAAGTACCAGGGCGTCAACCTGTACATCAAGAACCTTGACGATGATGTGGATGACGAGAAGCTCCGACAGATGTTTGCCGAGTTTGGTCCCATCACTTCTGCCAAGGTCATGAGGGACGTTCCTCAGGAGGGTGAGGAGGAGACCAAGGACCAGGAGAAGGACAAGGAGAACCAGAAGGAGGGCGAGAAGGAGGCCGAGTCCGCCGAGGGCGCCGAGAAGAAGACTGAGAAGAAGTCGGACAAGAAGCTCGGTAAGAGCAAGGGCTTCGGCTTCGTCTGCTTTAGCAACCCCGACGATGCCACCAAGGCCGTTGCCGAGATGAACCAGCGCATGATCAACAACAAGCCTCTGTATGTTGCCCTTGCCCAGCGCAAGGACGTCCGCAAGAGCCAGCTTGAGGCTAGCATCCAGGCTCGCAACCAACTGCGGATGCAGCAGGCCGCCGCGGCAGCTGGTATGCCGCAGCAGTACATGCAGCCCCCCGTTTTCTATGCTCCTGGCCAGCAGCCCGGCTTCATCCCCCAGGGTGGCCGCGGCATTCCCTTCCCCCAGCCCGGCATGCCCATGCCCAACGTTCAGGGCGGTCGTCCTGGCCAGTTCCCTGGCTACCCTCAGCAGGGTGGTCGCAACATGCCCCAGGGTCTTCCCCCCAACATGTACAGCATCCCCGGCCAGTTCCCCCCTCAGTTCGGACAGCCCGGAACCCCCCAGTTCATGGCTGCCATGCAGCAGGCTCAGCAGCAGGCTGCTGCTCTTGCTGGAGGCCGCGGCGGCGCTCCTCAGGGTGGCCGTGGCGCCATGGCCGGCATGCCTCCCAATGTCCAGGGCGGAATGCCCGGCTACCCCCCCAACAACCGCCAGATGGGACGCAACAACAACGGCGGCAACGGCGGCAACAACGCTGGTCGCAACGGCAACTTCCCCAACCAGGCCCCTCGTGACAGCAACACCGCCTCTCTGCTGCAGAACCAGCTTGCCGCTGCCCAGCCTGCCCAGCAGAAGCAGATCCTTGGTGAACTGATCTTCCCCAAGATCCAGGCCATCAACTCTGAGCTTGCTGGCAAGATCACCGGTATGCTCCTGGAGATGGACAACTCCGAGCTTGTCAACCTGTAAGTTTGCACTCTTTCACCTTGCGTTACTTCCAGGATCGTGATGCTGACTTTTTCCGCCTTTAGTATCGAGGATGAGGCTGCTCTCAAGGCCAAGGTCGACGAGGCGCTGGCCGTCTACGACGAGTACGTCAAGTCTCAGGCTACCGGCTCTGAGAAGAAGGAGGAGGAGACCAAGGCTTAAACAGCCCAGTCTCTTCTTCCTTTGACAACCATTATCGTTTCCTTTGTTGATTCAAAATTTAACCGCGGTGCGAGGCTGACAAGCCACCGAATGATACGTGGGATGCAATATGATAGCCACGGTTGCCTAGTCTATTGCATCATGTAAGGATAGACTTATTTGCTACATTTTCACGAGGTTGAACAAAAGTTGTGTGGTTTGGAAGGTGGTTTTACGGCAGCGGGAAGTCGCTTTGCCCACGCCGGGACGGAATACGTCGCTGGCAGAAAAAAGAAATCAGGCTCACCGGGATGGCGTTGCGGGTTTTATGAAGGCTGCCTCTGGGCTATACCCCCATGATCATGGTCCACTTTGACTGGCAAAAACAGGGAGGCAGGGGCTGAAACGGATAGGATTCTAGGGAATTTTCTAATAGATGACATGTTCTTATGTCGAGTGTACTCTTACTGTGAGCTTACGAAGTTATGGACGTCAAGTTATCAAGTTGCGGACCTGTGAAACTGAAGTGCTTTGAACTTGTTCTTTTTGATGACTATACATGGAGACGAATGCCCTGAATGTCTTGAAACAGCGAATGCTCGGAACGAATATTGACGGTCGTCTACGTATATGAAGAGCCTTCTCCCTGATCGTCTGAAGAGATGAAAGATTGCTTCCAATTGACACTCCCAAAACCCTAGGAAGTAGTACAAACTAGCTACATACCCAACCCGAAAAGCCCGGCGCCTGCTCTCCACCAAAACCAAGTCAAACAATAGAGAACGCTTGCCGATGAAAGGAATGGAATATATATAGAAAAAAGAAAGCAACGAGATGGACCTCCCCCCCTGCCGCAATGCCGAGTACATCAGGATGACTTACTACAAGATTTGTAAAAGAAAAAGAAGAAGGAGAGGGAGAGTGAGAAAAAGTTGTAAAAGGAGAGAAAAGAGACTTGATCGCCTGCTTGAATACCTTGCGTACAAGTAGAAACGCCCATATGACATGAAAAAAAAACAAAAAAACAAAAAAACAGGATTCCAACGCGCCATACAGAGAGAGCCAGAAAGGATATGCCAGAAGAGGAAAAAAGGATCGAAGAAGGGAGGAGGAGGAGGAGGAAGAAAAGTAGAAAAAGAAACAAGAACATCTTCTGTGAAAAACTTTTTCAAAGTTCCAGCTTTTCACCTAAATGTTGACTGTGTTGTCCGCTCCCCTTTTTGTCTTCCCCTTGACAATGAAAGATGAATAAGAGAGAAGAAAACAAGGATCGAACAGTGGTTCGGAATGACAAATTGAAGGACGAAAATGATATATACTTACCGTTCCGTTTACAGCGCCATTAAAAAGTGTTCCTTGTTTTGCTTTGAAACCCCCCCCCGTTACCTTGCCTTTCGCCTTGGAACCATGCCTGCGCCATACCCAATTGAAGGAAGAAACAAGGGACAGAAGGAATTAAGAGGATGGGAGAGCTACGCGCGGTGGTGATGTGGCAGCTGACAATAACAGACGCTGGCCTATGTTTGGCTATAAGTCATGCTGTTGGTCTGACGTGGAAAGATGAAGAGAGAACTGACAAGGATGGTCTTGTATATCCCTTTAATAGCAGAACTTCGATTCGACGCCTTGTGATGGATAAAAGGGACAAGTAGCACAGAGGAGGGGGAGAGAAATAGAAGTCGATGCGGTGGATCAAGAGTCCCTGAGAATATCGGTCCGGCCGTCGTCGAGCCGTAGATTCCTTGGTTGCTGCTTGCTTGGCACGCTGGCGTACAGCGTCTCCAGGACCTTGCCCTTTTGCTGTCGTCGAATTTCGGACAGATGATCTCTCACGCCAGACAGGCTGTCGATCTGGTCTTCGAGAGTCAAGATGGTGGCGTTGGTGCCGCGGACGAGGGGCGAGATGAGCTTGGTGCGGAGCCCCTCGAGCGACGTCTGCAGGGAGAGGAGCTTGCTGTGGTGGTTGACGAGGATGCCCTTGTTGCGCACAGTCTTCTCTCTGACGTCGCGCAGGAGCACGCGGTTCTGCTCAAACTTGCGCAGCTCGGCGGCGCGCGTGCCCAGAATGCGCACCCAGAGGCTGGCCAGCATGTCGCTGTGCAGCTCTTCCTGCGCAGACGTCTCGCGCGCGACGGTCCGTGCAAGGTTGAGAAAGTGCTGGTCGATGCTGTTGAAGAGGCCGTAGAGGTTCATGCTATAGCGGAGCTCCTCCCGAACGCTTTCCTCGAGGATCGACAAGAATTCGTTGAACAGGAGCTGGACCATCCGTTGCTCGCGCTGCGGGTTGCTTAGTCCAAAGATGTACGTAGTAATCGTGCCGAGCGGCGTGGGAGTGCCCGAGGCGTCTTCGAGGATGTGAGCCTCAGAAAGCATGTTGTGGATGTTATCGTACGCGGAGGAGAGGGTGGAAGGAGTAGGAGCGTTCTGGAGGCGATTGAGATGCATCTTGGCCCAATCCATGACATTGAGGATGCTGTTGTACAACGAGGCGCAAACGCCCATGTCAACGTTTTGCTTCTCTCGACACACCAGGGTCACACGAGGAATGGGAGGAAAAAAAAAGAGGGGGGGTCAAGACTTGGGTTGGGAGGCGGGATGAGAAGAAGATGGGATGATGGAGCAGAGGAGACTATTTGGAAATGCTGTTTCATCCATTCGTTACTCACCCGTCAATGTCGCCATCAACAACAGCAAAGAACTTGGTCATCTCGGTAGCGAGCGTCTTCATTGCGCCGCTGAGAGCATCGAGGTCGGCCACGATGAGCTGCGCATCTCGCATTCCGCTGGTGCGCACCGTCTCTCCGAGGTCCCAGACGGCCACGCTGGTCGCCTGCAAGTCATGGACCTGCGTGATGGCATGCTCCGAATAGTATATCAGCGGTTCAAAGGAGCGCGCGATGCCCGCGACCTTGACAAGGTCGCCAACGGGGCGTGGCGCAGGCTCCTGGATGAGCGTCTTGAACATGGTGACGCTGAAGACGGCGAGCAGCAGGCTGAACAGGGTAGAGGTCCATGACGCAGTGAGAGCGGCGTAGCGTTTGCGGACGAAGGCAATGGCGGTTTCGATTGGTTCGGTTCGCTGCTGGACTTCAGCGCGCACGGCGAAGCGAATGTCTACGAAGAAAGGCGACACATGTCAGGCGGCCGAATCCAACAGCACCAAGGGCAGCGGCGACGACGACCCAGTTGGCCGCGCGCCAGCAAGAGGCAGCAGGCAGCAGTCAAGGAAAAAGCGCAGCGCAGCGCGGGCGCAACTTACAATTGTCCGTGGGCGGCGGCGACTCCAGGATCCTCTCGAGAACGGGCGGGGTCGGTGCCTCGAGTCGCAACGTGCCGCTCCTGTTTCTCTCCGGACTCCGGCTCCTCACCTTGTCGGGGCTCATGCTGCCGGTGGGAAGCCGTGTGCGGATCGCTCTCTGCAATATCTCGTTGCGGGCGTCAAGGTCGTGGTGCAGGTCATCGTCATCGAGGTCGTCGTCGTCATCATCGATGTCGCGCTCGCTAAACGGCGTGTCGCGCGCGCCCAGGCGCATCGGGGCCATTGCGCCGAGCGCATCATGCGACGGCGGCCTCCAGAAGCCGCTGCTTCGACTACCGTTGGCGAGCCTCCGCCACGCTGGAGGAGAATAGGAACCTGCGGACGCGACCTCCAGATCCGCTAGGAGATCGTCTTCGATCGCCGCCTCGCTGGGGAGAACGGAGGAGTTCCTCGTCGTAGACAGCGGCGGGCTTACCGGCGTCTCGAAATCCCGTAAGGAAGCGTCGAGCCTTTCTTGGGGATCGGCCATGGTCGGTCTCTCTGGCGTAGTAGTCCCTCTCCTTGTAGTCCTTGTAGGAGTCCTTGGCTTCCTTTCGGGGGCGGTCTTTGTACGGGTCCTTCTTGTCGCGGCGGTAGATGGTGAGCGACTGGTCGCGCAATACGAGCTGGCGGTCGGGCGTGGTGGGCGACGGCGGATACGGGCGCGGCGAATGGCGGTCGTGATTGTAGTGGTCGTCGTTGTCGTCGTTGTTGGGGTTGGCGGCGAAGAGGAAGCGCGGCAAGGGGAGTCGTGGCAGGGTGAATGAGGGAAGAGAGGGAAGATAGAAGCTGACGAAGACGAGCAGAAGAAGCAGCGCAGCCAGAAAAGTGCTGGGAGTGACAGTGACGCTGATCAGGGAGACCTGCTGATTCACCGTTACCAGCGAATACATGGGCGAGTCTTGAGGGCGGACAAGGTCCAGCGGGATGGGACTAGAGGCAAAGGTGTGTCGGTCGGTAGTCGGCCTGGGCTTGGGCCTTGCACTTGCAACTCTCTCGCGGCGTCCAGACCCCGGCAGTGCCTCTGTGGTGTGTACCGTCTGGTTCTGGAGGTAATGGAGGTATGGAGTACGGAAGTACCACCAGTATGTGCGGCAAAAAGCAGTAATATGTGCGTGTGCACCGGTTAGTTGGGCCTGGTTGGAAGGACAAGGTCTAGTCCTCCGCAGGTAAAGGCAGCTTGTGCGGGAAAAGGGTCGACCCAGACTGGCTTCTTGTTCTTCCCAAGGTCGACAAGCTAGGTGAACAAATGGTCCCGCTCGGTCGGTTCCGTAGGAGCTGCAAGGAGGAAGAGGGAAAAGAGGAAGAAGGACAGAGCGAGAGAGACTGGAGAACGAGCCGGGAAGCGGCAATGCGTCAGAGGAGTCCAAGAAGCGGCCACCCTGGTCAGAATGGAGGTGGTAGCGGCAGCGATCAATGGGTGCGGGAGAGCGGCAGCGACACTCAAAAACTCTCGGGCTCGGGGCGATGGATCGACTCTCGTTGCCTTTCTGCCTCTTGTTATCTCGGTCGTCTCAGCTCGTCTCTTTTCTTTCCTCTTGCTCGGGTTTCTTCGAGTCCACCTTGTTTCGCTTCCGAGCTGTCGACAACTGGCCTGTCCCCCCTCCTGTCCCGCCGTATCGTGTCCCGTCCTGCCCTCTATCTCTCTCTGCAACCTCCTCGTCGACTCAAAGCCATTCCCCCTCCTCCCCTTCGTACCCAATCTCTTACTTCGTCCTCTCCCAACGCTGGAGACCTCAACCGACTCGACCCGTCCCAGGGCTGCAGCCGTGAGTGGAAGACTTGGGCGCCGCGGCCGGCAGCGGGCCACCCACTCACTCGCCTCTGCGCAAATCGCTGGCCCCAAGCCCGCCATGCGGCCTGTCTGTCCTGCGGTGGCAGCAAATCGTGAGAGGCTGGGCCGCCCTCGTGGCACGACATCGACCCAGTCGTCGCGGCCAATCAGGCGTGCCGCTCACATCTCTGTCCGCCGTTTCAGACCAGAACCAGACGGCCATCTTGGACAGGCCATACCCCCCTTCCACTCCTCCTCCCCCTCCCCCTCCCCCTCCCTCTCCCTCTCCTCTGGCCGTGTCTTGTTGCCGCTGCTCTGCCTCATCTCTCGCCCTCTCTCTCTTCTCGGCGCCATCCCTTCAAAGAGAGGACCCCAGCTGCCAGCAGGCTGTCTTGCCTCTCCCTTTGCTTGCTCCCCTCCCCCTCCCTCCCCCTTCATTGTCCAGCCAGTACCCCCACTTGGCCCATGCCTTTGTGTGCCTGTCCTTGCTGTCAATCCGCCATGCCATGACCCCAGGAGCGGACCGGCAACAGGATTCCAGCTCTCTGGGCTCAACGCACATGTACGATACCTACCTACCTGCAAGTTCTACCGCGTCCTAGGTAACGCCTTGTGTCGACCAAGTTGAAGAAAACAGCAAAATAAGGAGTTTTCACGGCGCATTCGGGGAGAACCCACGTCAAGCATTCATGCATCCTCTGGTTAACAGCTTGCCTGAGGTACTGTACTGTACATGCATCATCGAAGCTACAGCTACCTACAGCTACCCACATGGACTAACAATGGCCTCGGCTGGTGGCGGGATGGCTTCTCGTCCCTCTTTCCTTCCCGCCTTTGCCTCTGCCCTTCTCAATGCCTCTTTCCCATCCCATCAGCCACTAGGCTACTCCCGTTATCTTATCACCCCGCAATTAGTGGGCTTTCCCTTTTCTAAACCTCTCGACCTCTCAACCTCTCACCCCAAGCCAAAAGAGCTTCATCCACCCCCCTCCATACCTTGGTAGTGGACGATATGAAGCTCCGAGGCTTTGACTGGTAGGTGCATGATACCCGTACATACTGCTGCTGCTGCTGCCGGCAGCTTCCAGTTGGCAAGTAAAATAGGCATAATTTGTGTAGCATTTCCGCTCTTCATTGGCCCTCATGCACGCACTTTGCCTCTTTTCTGGCCGCTCTGCCGCATCGGTCCCCACTATTCCTTTCCCGTCTTCCTTGTTGCGAATCAATGCCACACCACCCTCCCTTACATACAATCAACTTTATAAGGTAGTGTGTCAATGAGAATCAACAGCAAAAAGGGAAGATGCCAGCTCATATCACTGCAAGCCCCAAGATCTAAGCTCCTCCCCCCTCTTCATTCCTTATCCCCTCCTTCCCTTCTCTTTCTACCGGATCTGTTGCCAGACGATTAGAAACACACAGCCGATTCTCATCGTCGGCATAATATCATCAAGTACCTACATGCTACCTTAGTACCTAGTATATGTATGTAGACACACACACAAAATGGTGGTGCGGACCCCTTTGAATCCCTCAGTCTCACCCTTGCAAGAAATGACCCAGGTTGTCACTGAGCAGCTTATTCCTGCACGCTTGAGAATGTGCAGATATCTAAGTACAACCTCGGTACGGTGTACTTTCCACGCGGATATTTCATCGATCGACCAAGCATGTACTCCCTACATTAGCAGATACCTTCGTGATCTCTCCATGCAGTCGAATCGCAACCTCACAGCGAATCTCTCCCGCTTCAGCCCCACTGGGATCCATTGTCACCAGGAGCTAAGCTAAACCGCAGTCACATGAGAACACTTCGAATGGACTCACCTCTCACCGGCCAGCATCACGCTCACAAGGTCTACGGGTAGTGCTGCGGAAATAACACACGAGGACAGCGGGAAAAAAAGATGCTATAAAAAGAAACTGACGCTGTGTTTCCATTTCAAGTTCTCGTAATCGCCCGTGTGGTCAACTCCAACCCGATCCGCGCGAAAAAGTAGAGATTTCGTAGCATACCAGCAAAAGGTGAAGGACAACACTAAAAGAAGCCTCCCAACTCCCAAGGAGAGACCAGGAAGAGTGAAGAATGAAGTCAGGAAAAGAGAGAAATAAGAAGGGCAACCCCTTCTCACGCTTTCGGCCCCACTGCCATTAACTGATCCCTTGTTGTGCCCGATTCATACAATAGTACTTGCGCTGGTCCCCCGTAGTCATCAAACAGCACATGTGGTTGGTTCTCTGCCCCCTCCCTCCATAAACCAGAGATCCCCAGTGCAGGATGGACAGGGAGGGGGAGGGGGCGTGGGAGAAACAAAAGCCTGGATATCAATCTCCTCTGCGTTTGCCCCCCCGGAAGGCCGAGATCAGTGACGCTTGGCAAGCTCCCAAGCTCCCAAGGGCCTCAGGGCTCGCCAGAGTTCTAGTCTACTTTGGCGTTGGCCAGGCTTTTGGCCGATGGGTTGCTGATATTGTTCACCTGCTTTACCGGAGTCCGCTTGTACTTGGACTGCTTGCGCAGCTTCTTGCGTGCCACCATGACGGGCACCGAACTCTTAGTAACCAGATAGTTGGAGAAGGACCCCAGAATAACACTACGTCTTTGGTTAGCAAGCAGCCCTCCTCTTCTCGAAATAAAGCTCAAGCAGGACACATACCCCTTGAGCGCACTTCGGCCCCGGCTCCCAATCACCACCAGAGTGGGATTGACAAGGTCAATCACTTCCGTCACCAGGTGCCGTGGATTCTTGCAGTGCAGCACCTCCACAATCACCCTGACCTGCAGCCTAGTCTTCCTCAAGAGACGGAGCACCTTGTCTGTAATCTGCTGCACGGCGCGGCTGCGCTCCTGCTCGGCCTTGAAGCGGTCGCCACGGTACAGCGGCGCCGGCGAACCGGTTGGCGTGCCAGCATTGGACTCGCTCCGCAGGTAAAAGGCTGAGGTACGCTTGAATTCCGATACCAGGTTCGTCTGCGCAGGCACCAGCTTCGTGTTCGCCATCAGATTAATGGCCGCCGCCTGCTCTTTGAGCGCCTTTGGCTCGTCCGGCACCTGGGATCCCTCCGCCGCGCCTATTCCCGTTTCCTCGTCGATGCAGTAGATTGCAACCAAGGTATCGCCGTCCCGGAGAACCGTGCCAATTGCCCATTCGAGGGCATGGGTTGATTCGTCGCTCAAGTCCGTGGCCACCAGGTACTTCCTCAGTCTGTGATTCTCCTCTTCCGCCGCCTGAACGATCCTAGTGTAATCTCCACGATAGATGATGCGAATGGCACGATGCGCTTCCGGTGTCTCCAAGATGTTGGTCATCGTGAATGACAGGTTTTGCGCCCTCTTGATATCGTCCATCTCGGCTTCTTCGTCCGAGTCCATGACGGAGGGCGTTGCCGAAGCCAGGCCCTGGTCGTAGCTGGTAACTGGATGGACTCCCCTGTTGGCCTTAGACGGCTTTGCCGTGTCTCCGGATGTGTTTGTCACTTTGATCTGGGGCTCCTCAAATAGGGAGCGGTACTGGTATTGGGGCTGTTGAGAGGCCACTTGTGAACCTGTTTGCCAGAGTCAGCATTTTTTGGTGTCGCTCGCGTTTGACGAGGTCATCCCTCGAAATCTGCTTACGCTCTTGTTCCGCTGCCGCCAGCAAGCTCAGCGCCTGCCGACCCCCTGATTGTGAGCTGCTACCAACCGAAGACTGGCCATTATCTAGCCCAGTGCCGTGTATCAGCGAGCGAGGGGACTTCTTGCGCCCCCGGTCCTCGTCGTCGGACGATTCCTCGTCTTCTTCGTCACTTGATTCGAGATGCTCGCCATCCGGCCCGACATAGTCCTTGACCAGTCTGCCTTCCCCTGCCTCCACCGATTTCTTCCGCATAGGCAGCTGCGCCAAACTTCCGCTAGACTGAATGAGATTCGCATCTGATAACTTGCGGTAGGCATTGTTGAGATTAACCACCTGGCCATCTTTCAGCATGGCTTTGCCCGGCGGTAGCGGTGGTGGCGTGGAAAAGGTCGCCGGCGATCTAGACCTACTGCCCCAACGGCGATTTTGAGTCTGGGGAGACTTGGACTGGTTGGGGAAGATTCGAGAGCCACCGAAGGGAGATCGGCCTCTATCCGTGGGCAGCTGGAGCCCACTCTCGGAGCCTCTCAGCGCGTCTCCAAGAGATCCGCCGCTCTCCCGTTTGCTGTTTCTCGAAGACGACCATTTCAACGACGATTGGGGACCCGAGCCATGGGACATGATACTAGAAAACTGGTAATTGGCAATGGGGTCCTGTCGAGTACGTCTGGGCTCGGCGAACTTGACGCCGGCATCCGACCTGCTCCGAGGGTGTGGTGCCAAGCCAGAAGACGATTGATGTCTAAAGACGGGCTCGCTGGGGGTCATCAGAGGCGAGCTTGGAGTCGAGCTCCTGCCCGACCGCCGAGGAGAGTCAGGCGGAGGGGCACTAATATCCAGCATGCTGCGGATCAGCTGTGGGGAGGGCGGCGCATTAACGTCCAGCATGCTCCTCACCGGGCCCTGGGTGGCAGCCGCAGGTCTGTTGGATGATGACGCGCCGCCGCTCGCAGGAGCCTCTTCCTCGGCAATGTCCAGCATGCTGCGGACTGGAGAACGCGCAGCATACGGCGAGTCTGATCGAGCGCTTCTAGCCGACGGGGCGGGGGCCTCGCTGCCGCGCTCCAACAGAGCGAGAACCTCTTTCCGCTCCATATCGAGCATGGCGTCGATGCTCATGGGGCGGTAATTGTTCTTGTTGGAGTTATTGTTCGCCATGTTGATGGTGAAAGCCGGGAGGCTTTGGGTATAGGATAGAAGATTGGTTGTTGATCGCTGCTCGCTGCTGTGGCCAGATAGCCGGACGGTTGTCGAAGACCGGCAGACGTGACGACGACGGTGCTGGATGCAAACAGAGAATTATGTTGCCGACTGCCGAGATGATTGCTTTCAAGCTCGCTGACACGTGCAGCTCGCGCGGCAGCACCCAATCGATTCGAAGCTGCTACTCTGAACGAAGTACTCCGTATGGCTTCCCCGGATATGCAAGCAGGCAATGTAATGTAAGGTAAGTAAAGGTATTGATGTGGTAATAGCTGGTGGGAGGCCGCCGCAGATGCTAGCGGGGCAGCTTTCGATGCAGTCGACGCCGAGTCGATTGGGTCCAGGTTGAGGGCCAGAGGAGCATTGTGCATGAGCAGGAAAGCGGCTGGGCGACGGGGGGCGCGGCGCCTCTCAGATCATGGCGCAGGCGCAGGCGCAGGAGCGGCAGAGCGATGGGACGACGGAGCGACGGAACTGATGCTCAGGAGCGAGCTCGAGCTCGGGATCGGTTGAGGGCGCACGATGGCGGCAGTGGTACGAGTACCGCCAAAAGGGAGAAGGGGAGGCCGGACGGGGAGAGCAGCTGGGGAGCGGTCGCCGGTGGGCCACGCTTTTTTCTCTCCTCCACTCTCTTGCTCCGTGAGTGACTCGTGGGATTTCGCCTATTCTCTGGGCGGAAGCTGCAGACGTCGCAGTCAACGCTATTCGCTGCAGAAGGTAAACGGGCGCCTGGTAAGAGAAGTGCGCCAAAGGATTGTAACACCTGGGCGACGGTTTGACAACGTCACGTCTGTTGGAAGTCGGTGGTTGCACGTTCTGAAAGATGGACGTGATGCGGGAGCAGGTCCGAGACGGGGAATGATGGAGAGCCTGGGGGAGCCTAAAAAGCTTTGGGGGTCCAGTGATCTGATGGCCGGCGGCGGAGAGGGGCTGTAGGGCAGTGACGACGCTCCGTAGCGGTTACGACGCTGTCGCTTGTGCCCTGAAGGCCCAAAGCTTAGTGGACTGCGGTGGCGGAGAGCGTCGATTCCAGGCGATGGTCCGCATCACATCATTCCTCCAAGAATCAATGGAATCTTCTTGAGTTGATTGGATTGGATTCATTCAATCATCATCCCATCAATGCTCAGCTGCGTTTAGCCCTTCGCTAGCACCCGGTGGCTTTTACCCCTCGCAGGGCAGCACAGCATCATGGCGATTAAGTTTAAATCCCAAGACGCAAGGGAGAGAAGACATCCGTCTTGCATACACAGTCCGCACCTTTACCTTGCCTCATGTTGCCAGTCCAAGCACAGAGGGGACAAAAGGGGGGCCCGATTCTTCTCGTCTATCCGCGCGCAACAGCCTGCCTCATCGTTCCGTTACCTCTGCGAACCATGGACAGAAAGAAGAGCAGTTATTGACGAGAGAAGAAGCTTAACGCTCCTCTTGGTGTAACCGCATACCACCTCGCGCTGCCTCATAATGAAGAATCACGCTCTTTTTTTGCACAGCCATGTGCGACTCCGCTAACTGCTGCTCCCAACCATCCCGACTTCTACAGGCGCCTCTCATTGGGCGTCTGCGCGCTTTCGTGCGACCGCCGTCCTTCGTCTCATTAACCTTAAAAAAGGGCTTGATCTACCCGGGTTGGGGGGTTCCTCTTTTGGGGAGTGTGTGCGTGTGAGCTTTGTGTGTGAATTTAGAGCCGGGTCACATGTGGGCAAATGATCGTACAGTATGAAGTGTGAGAGGGTCGTCTTTGACCACATCCTGGAGCTGTGCATGCGTCCATTGGCCATGCGCAGTGGTGCCGATCTATTATGCTCGATATATGCACGAAGAGACAGGCATTTCAGAGCCTGAGATACGTGTACAAGTAATACCTCGTGTCATGCTTCGTAGGTATGTACCTGTAGAAAGCGACGCCGCCCTCACTCTGGGCCTGGTAGCCTCTCGTGATATAACGTACAATTGCCTATCCCAGCCCAGCCTCTGCCGTCTAATTCGCCGTCATGGAATAGGCACGCATCTAATATACATTTTCAGTTTCTCGCCGTCACATCGTATCTTCATTTCTTCTTCTTGGCTTTCAGCTTGTTGGACCCCACGTTGGCTCGGGCCGCCGTGCCAAGCTTGTGCACCAACTTCCTCTTTTCCCACACACTCGACCGGCCCTCCACCACGGCAATGATCTCCTCAGCTATCCGATGGGCAAACTGGTTCCGCCCACTGCCCTTTGACGGCTTCTTGTTGATGACGTCCAGGATCCATTGGAAGGCCATCCTTCGGCGTTGCCTTACAGCGAGGGGCACTGGAAGCTCGAGAGCACGGCCACCTCCACCTGCACCGGCAATGTTCCTTACTTTGAGGAGCGGCGCAACGGAGTCGATGGCGATTGTGATGTAGAGAACGGGGTTGAGAGGGAGGTGGGAGGCCGGGGGTGTTCCCGGTAGGAGGGGGAATTTCGGGCTGTAGATGGGGGCGGGCGCCGTTCGGAGATAGTTCATGACCGTGGCCATGTTCTACACCTGTCAGTATACTCCAAGCTGGCATGGACGAGTTTTGGTAAGTCATACCCTTTGCGCAACGCTGAGCTCTCCGTGGCGCATCAGCAGCCTGGTGATTTGCTCCAGCACAGGATGGTATCGCTTCTTGACGTGGAATCCCTCCGGGTAGGGCTTCTGCGGCAGGCCAAACTTGTGGCCAGCTTTTTGCAGCTCCGACTCGACAGAGACTATTGACTGCGATTCGGCGGCGGCCTCTGACCTGGCGACAACAGCCTCTGCCTCCTCTGGCGGGGGAATGACACCCTCGCGATACAGAGCCTCCTCTTGCGCTTCCGTCAAGCCACCCTCTTGCTGACTTGTTACAGTCCGCCCGCCGAATAGGATCTGTTCCAACGCGGCATCGTCTAGCGCATCGGCCGGTGTCGCCTGTGGTGATGATGAAACGGTCTGCATTCCCACAGGTCAGCATTCGCCTTTACACTCAACCGCCTGTGCAAAGAAACATGTCCATACCTCCGCCGAGGCATTCTGAGCCAATTCGTTCGAAGAAGCCTTGGTATGTCCAGGCCTTGATTCGGAAGTCGATTGCGAGGCGGAGAGGTTTCCGCTGGGAGGACCGGAGGGCCTGTTGGTCGCATCATCGGCATAGAATCGAGTCGACAATATCTGGCCCCGGAACGGCTGCGATGCAATGCGGGCAGGCCGCGGCCGGAGCGCCAAGGACCTGCATGCGCCCCAAATGTTCACCCTTGAAGCCATGGCGGTATCTCCGAGTCACCGTGGGCGGCTCCTGCGGCGCAATTCTTTTCGTCTCCTCGAGTACGCTTCGGCAGCTCCTCGTGATGGCCGTCCCATGAAAATTACAGAATCCCACCACACCAGCAGTTGCTGATCGGAATAACTGCCGGTCCGAGCCCCAACTTCTCAACTCGACCTGCAGCCTGACGTCTGCTTATGTCAGCCTTCCAACCTCGCGCACGATCCTGGACCCCGATCCTTGCATGGCTCATCTAGATGGCTGGACGGATGGATCTGAGCCATCCTTGCACGAGTCGTTCCACAGCATTGACGCTGGCAGCTGCATCCCTTGAGTGCCAAGGTCGGGGGGCGCTCATTTCCAGCTTGGCCACATGATCTTCGGGACGTCCGTCGACGCGTTGATCGAGTGTCTGGCTGTCTCTGACGATGGGACGGGACGCGTAGCTTCTTACGGTGTACGAATAGGCACGAGCAATGCGCATCCCGTGCTGGCCTGGACCTGGCCGACGCTCTGGAGCTGCCCACATCCACATCCACATCCGCATCCGCATGCCATCCCAGTCCGACGTCACGAGGCTTCGGTTCCAGATGGATCTTGCTTCTAGTATTTGAAATGTCAACGCAGTAATTATTAGTATCAACTTTCAACAACTGGTTGGTGGGCTATGCGCCAGTGCCTATTCTTCCATCAATCTTGAACTCGTCATGATCCTCCTGCATCCGCCCTAGGCGTTTCCTTGATATCGAGACCGACGTTGCAAACAAAACTGCCCTCCCGACCAGCAAAGAATAAAAGAAAAAAAAAAAAAAAAACAAATCCAAGTCCTGATACCAACACAAACAATCCAGCAAGCAAACGCGGAATTCCCATGCAACAAACTCCATATCCGCAATCGTGACGCAAACACAAGGTGGCAAGCATGCCGTGTGCCGTGTGCCGCCGCATTTTTGTATTTCGCATGACCAATGCTGTTAATTGGGGGCTGGCCGGCCGCCGAGGGTATAGGGCAATCAAGGTGAGAAGCCTGAGGGAAAGATCCCCCTCGAAGTCAAGAGGATAGTTCTCGAACATGGCAAAATCCCAAGTTGCACCGTTTCCGTAGCCCGAGCTCTCTGATAGCCTCGAGATATGACGCCTTCACCCACACTCCTCCAACTCCAAGCATCATCAGACCGCACAAAAGAAAAGAATAAAGGAATGAAGGGAGAAAAAAAAGAAATGAGTATAGTAAGACATTGAGCTCCGCTGCCAAAATTGAGAATAGCGAACGGCGAAAAAAAAACGGTAGTGCCGATGCACGGTGATGCCGGGCCTGGAAGTAGCGGTGACTGTTTACCAACCGGCCCTCAGCCAGTTCAGGGCACATTCGGCGGCGTCTTCTTTGGCATTGTTGAGGTTCTTGCCATCGTACCAATATCGTGCTGCAAGAGTCTGGCCCTGGATTGTGACTTGGCTGGACCAAGCTGTTCGACCGCCTACGACACCAAAAGCCTCTTAGTCAATGGTAACAAACAAAGCGGAATTGGGAATCAATATGCGTCATACCTCGACGATCAGACACGATCTGAAAGGTGGGGGGCATGATTTGGGCATCACGGCAAGCCTCTATGTGGCACGTCAGTCGGGTCCCCGTGAGGGTCAATGATGGCTGCGGTGATCCCTACCTTCGAGGCGTTCCTGCCAGGATGAGCCGTTGGAGCCGTAGGAGGAAGTCGAGGCAGCAGAAGAAGTAGACATCGTGATTATGTTTGGTGATGGACAGGTGTATTAGATTTGTGTCGATGAGTGAGTGTCGGTGGTCGAGGCGATGCAGGGGCACGACTCAGAATTGGCGTGTATAGCGGCGTCTAAAGTCGAACAACAAGTACAATGGTCGAGACGAAGGCGAGGTGAGGCGTGAGCCGGATATATAGGTATTATATAGTCGAACAAGAGGCTGGAATGAGGGATGGCGACTCTCAAGGGATATCTGTATCCAAAGTGGGAAAAGCGGCGTGTGTGGGGGAGGCCGAGGAGTATTATGAGGATCAAGGCAAGCAAAGCAATGGTCTGGGGATAGTGGGTTGGTAGATTGGAGAGAGAGGAGAGTCCGTGATTCAGACGGCGCAGACGCGATGTCTTATATCGTGGTGGACTCAGCCTGCTGGGGGCTGGACCTTGACTCTTGAGCTTCGGTAGGTAGAGAGACAAGTGGACGAGGATGATTGATCGAGGATGGTGGACCAGGGTATGAGCAGCCGAGTGATGTGGCAGCTGGGGAGAGCTAGTAGGAATTAGATCGGAGAAAAAAAAATGAAGTGTATCAAATTTGGGCGTCGAGCTGTCAATGCTTGCAGCTCTGGTTGCGTGTTTGGCACGGGGCGGCTGCGGCAGACTGCAGGTGAGAAAGGGCCTAGACAACGGCTCAGACGGAGGAAGGCCAAGGGGGAGTACAGAAGTTACAGCCGACGGCAAGGCGTACAAGGTGGTGTATCTCTAAACCCATATCCATTCTATTCCTGGGTCATCGGCGAGGTTAAAGGGGAGATGACGGACGAAGCAAAAGGCAGAAAACAAGGGCATCGCCCGGCCTGACGTTGCTGCTGTATTTGCTTCTGCCACTTGTAGTCTTAGGACCGGGGTGATGGGGGAAAATAGACGACTAGCATGGGGAGCACAAGGCGAGAATGGGTCCAACGAAGCAAGCTTCCATTTGAGCAGCCGCAAGTCGTTGGAGGTGGATGAAAGTGATAGAACCTGGAATACTTTGACCAGGGCTGGCCGGTGGATGCTGATTGCCTGCTTTGCGTTTTTCCTCATTCGACTCGACCTTCCCTGGCGCCCAGGCATTGGCAGATGGTACGAGGAGGAATCGTTGTAAATCGAGGTGTCGAAAGTCTGCTGCCAGTGGCGGGAGGGTGGGGTGTAACTTCTGTTGTCAGTGCGTGTGTGTGGATGGCCTGAAGAGTCGGAGTGATGCGCTGTGCTATTGCTTTGCCTTTTTGCCTTTCGCTGTGCCTTGCTGCTGTGCTGTAGTCGAAGCAGTGCTTCTTTGGCCGTCTACTCGTTCCAATCGTCCGCCTTGTCCCCTATTTCCAGGGCGCCGGAGATGATTACTGACATATCGATGTGAGGCCAGTGTCTGAGACTCGTGTCTCTGTGCTTCTGATAAATGAATGACGTTGCTGACACAGCTTCCTGTCCAGTGCCTGGGTACCATATGTAGGGCATCGACTTGGCTGCAAGGGAGCAAAAGGAAATACATGGACATCACAGGTCGGCAGCGATTGTTTGTTGGAAGGTCAGGGACTCCGAAGACACAGCCAACGATACGTACGATATTCCTTAGCGCCTTGGTGCCGGATCTCAGCCGCGATGTGCTCGGTGGTACTTGCTGTGCATCCTCAGCTGCTGCCCCTGGCCGAAGCGAACCAGGCATCTCCCCGTACTCGATACCCCGTCGGAGCCCGACCGACACGGCGGGCAGGGCAGTACCTCATACATCTCCAGGCCCCTTACCCCGTGCTAAAGGCAATGTACCTCAGCAGCGCTTTGAACCCGCTGGTACGCCGCACTATATCGCTGAGATGACAAGGAAGCTACCGCCGAGCAAACACGGGACTACTGCCGGTGAGCCCCACACCGGGCAAGATTAAGGTCTGTGCGCGCTCTTGCTCTCTTCGGTTGTTGTTTGTATGGAGGCAGCTGCTGTGCTGTTCGCCCTTCCCGATTACTGGGGACAACGCTGGCCAGTTTCTGTACCTTTTTCTTACCACAGCCATGCGCAGGAATTACAGCGATGCCTTGGGTGCCGTGGCGGTACATACTGCCACCGTGGCTGAGCATCAATTGGTGCCTAAGGTATCAAGTAAGGGAGCAGAGACGAGAGAAACAACCCGATATCTAAGCTGATAGAGTACCTATTTTGAAGCCTGTACTTACATCTACCGCTGCCATGCACATATAAACACCCACTCCTGCGAAGTACAGGCATACCCACATACACGTTGCATGCATGGATGCGATGGCCAAAAACACGACTTCTTGGGTACGATGGCTGATCCGTCCCTCTTCAGCTTCGACGCATAGGAGCCGTTCAGCAGCGACTGACCAGGGGGAAACAAGACAAGCCCCATTGCTTGGGGCATCGGCGCTGATTGCTTCTGTGTCTTGATACGTTTACCAAGGAGGCCAGGGGGATTCGCCCATTCGCGGTGCCCTTGTTATCCCATGCAATTGGCTCACTCAGATCAACAGCTGACAGATGATTCTGTGATAGAATCTACGAGTCATCGCCCTCTCGCGGCTTCGCCTTTCTCTACCTCCTTCCTTCCGCCTCCTACTGGTGCAATACGAAGCAGGCTTGCCGGTGCCTTTATGTCGAGTAGGGCAAGACGATTGCCCGGTCCGTGGCTTTGTGGCTTTGTGGCACCACTGCTTTGGGCCAGGAGTCCCAGGGCGTGCAGCCGCCAAAGCCAACATAGTTTCCGTGCTGTCGCGCAACCAGCCACTCCGTGTGCTCCGTACCCCGTACTCCGTCCTCAATCACTTGGTCAGCTCCGTCGTACACCACTTGATTCCCCGGCCCGTGTGACGCGGCTCTTATATTTGCTGCCCCAGTGGCAGATACCGGACTCCAAGGCAATATACGCAGTGCTAATGCATGTGCGGAGCTGTCAGCCAGGATACATACAGAGTCATACAGCTTTAAGCACAAGTACGAGGATGCTGGCCTTTGGTGGTGCCGGCGTGTCCGCCCGGATCCCAATCCCCGGCACCAAGTTCACGGCCACGATGAGTTGTCTCAACACCTTGTCACCAGCTTGCCAGTTACTGGCAAACACATACTTTACATGGCCCCTCCCATCAAAAAAGCAGCAGGGCTGAGTGGGTACCTGCGAAGCTACCTGGAGAGAAAGAAATGGAAGCGAAAAAGAAGTGAGAGGAACTGCACCGGCATACTAGCTGCGAGACTACCATGAAGGAGCCCACACTTGTGAGCCACGCTGGGTTTACACCTGCAGACTTACATGTAGTATGCCGTTGGCATGGAGGCTGGCTGCAACATCGGCTACTAATTGCTGTACCAAGCGGTACACCCCAGTGCCTTTGAATAGATGTTGCAAAATCAACCAGTAGGATGGTTCCCCCGAGATGCCGCGATTGGGCGCGCATCTGTGGGCGTTGGTTTGAATATGTGCATACGCGCACATACACATGAGTCCACATCGACGAGTGGCTATTATGCCTTTGCGTGGACATTTTGGGCCACGAACCAACTGGACTTGTGAATCAAGAGTCAAGAGACATTCAGCTGACAATTACTTACGCTATGTAGAGGTTGGCTGATATTCCTCACCGTACAACGGATATTTTCAGCTCAGTCGGTAGGGGCTTACATGATACACTCCTACGAGGATCATCAGTCCACGAGTCACGGATGGGAAAGAGCGCCGGATCGCCTAGTGGTAAGGCCCTCGCACTCATTGAATTACTGGCGCTGATGATTCTCGGGCAGCCTCTAGTTAGGAATAAAATCCTAGTGTGGTGAGATATTGCACCTCGTCCAGGGCATGCTCGGTCAGGTTGTTAAGGCCATACGTTGAGGCCATACAACATGATCGCTCCGTCAGTCCAACATCAACGTACCGCGGTACGAGTACTCTATGGCGCAGGTCGGTCTGTGGAGCACACGACGGCTGCATTAGCGGAGATGCCACTTAACAATGCGTGTTAAGGCTGAAGTCGCTGATTACCACCATACCACCTACATTTATCACTAGGTAGGGTCGCAAGTTCTGGCCTGGTCTTTCAACGCTGGAACGCCCAAGCAAACTGTGGACGCGTTGCTTTCAGCTTTTTTCTTAAGATTATGCGTTGATACCACTACATGCAATGCGAGAGACTTACTTCAAATCAGATCCGTACAAGAAGGGAGGAACATGCAATGAGGCCAACACAAATCGAGAAAGAAAACAAGAAAGAACAAAAAAAAAAGCAAAAGTGAGCACGGCATGACGGCGGGGCATCAGGACGGTGACGGTGACAACTAGCACTCACGACTGGCGATGGGTCGAAAAGGGGCGTGAGTTGGGCACCAGAGCGGGTCTTCTGTTCGTTGTCTTTTTGCTGCTTTTTTCCCAAAGGACCGGATGGTGGTGCGTGTTCCAAAGATGGCGGAGGAGGTGATCATGAGGCATACCTCTATGCGAGTGCGTCTGAAGGGTGCATATCTACCTAACCCCAAGCAGGGAGCTACTATCTGACGGCTGCCGTCGTTCCAAGGCACAAATCTTCATATATGTTGTGCGACGCTTTTATATGGCGTGCACAGCGATGTGTGGACAAGCAGGAAGTGCCCATCTCTCTGATTGTGCGCCGAACCGTTGACACGACAAGACGACGACACGACACACGACGATACAAGATATACTCGCCGCCTCAAAGCGAGATACTCCCAGCGCGTGTCCAGTATACGCACCTCATTGCTACTCTGTGAGTAGCATGTACGGAGTAGCGTGAGAGAACAGGCCAGGGGTGAAAGACGGACATATGCGTTGTGTTCCCTCTTCCACACCGGTGCGGAGAAGAAAAAGGAGATCTGAGACACTGACCAGGTCTAACCAGTTGCGCTCATTTGACTTCTGAACCATGTTGTACGTACCGAGACTTCTGCTGGGCATGGGTTACACACTGACACCGGGCTCATCAGAAGGAGATACAGATACGGATCTTGACACTGAATTACCCGCCGATTGAAAACTGGGGGAGAGATGGGGAGAGAGAAGACGCCAACCGACGACAACATAGCATCAATATCAAGATGCTCGACGTAACGGAAGACCCGATCTCGACACCAGACTGCGCAGGATATTGCATGCTATGGGCATCCCTGACGCAGAGATCTCGCCCACCCCGCACTTTGTTGCCAGACATCGAACCGCTACCTAGATCCAGCCGTTGTTTCTTTTTTTTCCCTCCTCGGAAGCGGACGATCCTCGTGACAGTATTATCCGCGTACTACACGACGCAAGACATTATACAAGTCACGCCCGTACGCGGTTTCACCTGTGGGATGACTGCCACCGTTTGTCTCCCTAGGAGTCCTCGTCCTGATGGGTTGACACTTGCGGCCGAGTACACACGGGCGGCGCCTAGCCACTTGCAATGGCTCTCTTTCCTTTCCTTTCCCATTCCTTGATTCCTTTGCCCAGAATTCCCCGTGTTTTCTTTCCCTTGTGCGAAGCAGTTCCGTCAAGGAGCCCCCACTTAACGCAGCTGCGCATGTTGCTTTGCGAGGCATGATATTGCACTCTACCGCATCCACGTATCTTGGGTATATGCGCTTGTACAGGTGTTTGTTAGGCACCAAATCACACACCAACGGAACCTGCCTTGGGATCCTTCCTTTCCTCGATCATCTGACGGAGCAGCCACTGTATCTTTGCGTTGGCCGCGCAGAGGCAACGCAATCTCGTCTTCGTCATTGAGATTGCCGTTGTCTTCCATTCGACAGATTAGTCACGTCCCCCTTCCCCTCTGCCTCCCTGCAGGAGTAAGTTCGAAGGCTGCAAGCCTTGAGGAGGCAACACGTCGTCGGCGAAATACTTGGCAATACAGTTGGCTTCCAGCCCCTCGCTTCCGAACTCGACAGCTTGCGGCACAGCCCATGTGGGCCGGACACTGAAGCCGCTTGCTTTCTACCACCATCTATCTTGCCGTCGTTGAGCGAAGCAAGTGTGGCTGGGACAGAGCATTGGACTCTCTGCACGTGAAGCGATATGCTGCTGTCTTCTTCGGCCAAGAAGCCGGTGATGAAAAGCTGGAACATGAAAGCAGGACGTTGCGAGAGAATATATGACGGTCCGCGGGAGGCAGCCACCCGAGACATGCAGCAAAGCGAAAAATGCCACGACGCCGTCGGTTTGGATCCTTGACACTTGATTGCCTACTCGTACATGCATTATCCGTACCCGATAATATGCTCGCGGAGCTTGTGGGAAGAAGTCGGAGCAAAACAAGAAGTGGGATCCAGCTTTGGCTTTCGCAGAGAGCATCCGTCTCTTGTAGCGTTCCGCGTACATTCGTACTCCGAGCCGAAACCCTGAGCGAGCATGCCCTCTTTGCTGTCTCTCGTAGACAAAAGACTCTCAGAAGCACATGATTTGGCGGCGAAGAGCCGCTGTACCAGGGATATTGCTTCCGCATCGTGTTCACTTTCAGCCTCTCTTGAGCTTGCCTCGTCCCGGTTTCGTGAATGGGAAGCCATGGGGGTCGCCAGTCAGGGTCGTGAAGTCATCAAGGGAGAAAAGTATGACGATCTGTCCTACACATCTTGGTGCTATAGCTCATGGTAACAGCAATGTCAGCCCATGTTGCTATTGGCGGAACTTTTGTATGATGCCATTGGCCGAAGTTCTGTGCATGGTCGTCTTCCATCTCATTCAGCATGAGACAAGGGACTTTAACATTACAGATACTTAGACATCCCATTTACTAATATAAAGAGCAAACCGACAAACTGAGCTCCCGACGCAACGATACGAAAAGCTCATCGGCAACCTACCTCAACCGCGTCCCATCTTCATCCCACAAGTGCTCGGAAACCAAGGAGATCACGGCCATTGGCGTGTTATCTATATTAAATTCCCTCCATCCTTTCTCGCTCCTCCCCACACCTCCTTTCACTTCGTTGGCCGAAATATCTCTTCATCGCCGCGCCGGCGGCCGCCTCCCGCCCGATGTGCCGTCAGGAGGCTTGATGTATGGCCACCCCTTGTCCAATCGACAGAAGACTGCCGAAGTGGTGGCTTGCATATGGCTTGATGCGGCGGAGAGTGAGTGTCATGTGTCATGTAGGAGAGGCGTAGTTGGTGATTGGTTGTCTTATATATTGAAGGCCGCAGCCTGATATATGATATTACTTACCTTTATACCTTCGCGGCGGGCTACTTGTCTTATATGACAGGAGACAAGATGACATTCTTCCACTCCGGTAGGAAGTGACGGAGGTTGTAAAAGAGTCACAACATGGCAAGGTTTCTTTTCCCTTTGGGAATTCCAGTGGCATGTTGTACCCGAGGCATGGAAGAGCACAACAATACCGTCTATGGGGAAACCTCAGCCGGGAGCAAACAGCCACGGCAAC